TCTACACACACACACACACACACACACATATATATATATATATATATATAAGCCCGTACAGTCTCGAAAATGTTCATATTGGGACTTTTTGTATGCCAAATTATGGGTTTGAGTGTTCCATTGGCCTACCGTTGAAATATGGGTTCGTACTATTTTCTGAATGCTTGGGGATCAGTCTATTGTTGGAAAACGAATTCCCATCTAGTGGGTTGTGTTCCTGGTGAAATTATGATGAATCTGTCGAAAGTCAGGTGCAATCAATTTTGTATAGATCATTGGAACTTTGGGCGGAGATGCAGGCGCAGACTATTAACCAATACTACACTATGGATGGTGTACATTGACTATGGTATTGTTTTCTTCTAAACAGCCAAACAAACTATTTTTTATTGTGACCAAAAATTTCGAACTTGAGCTGGTCTCTAAAATGCCCATATTTTCAGCTTTGCTTATTTCTCTGTTTGTGGCTTGATTATTTTTTCAATCATTTGTTTCGGTTACCTTTTGTCGACAGTGGTTTCCAAGAGGCTACGTGTCCATTGAGAAAACGTGATGCTAAATGTGTCTTACTGTTCTTCAGGTAGTATTCACATCTGTATTTATAGCAAAGTCATTTCTTCAGGTAGTATTCACACCTGTATTTATAGCAAAGTCATTTCTTCAGGTAGTATTCACACCTGTATTTACAGCAAAGTCATTTCTTCAGGTAGTATTCACACCTGTATTTACAGCAAAGTCATTTCTTCAGTTAGTATTCACTCCTGTATTTACAGCAAAGTCATTTCTTCAGGTAGTATTCACACCTGTATTTACAGCAAAATCATTGCCTATCTAGTAAAGAACATGCCCCGAGATACTTAACATTAATTTTTGAGAGTTTCAGTTTTCTACATCAATCACATCTGTTATTAACAGTGTCAGTTTCATGTTTTATATTCAGTCTCGCACACAGTTCCTTCTGAAACAAAAGTCCTATAGCAGTATTTCGCACAGAGCATCATTGACCAGCCATAAATTTGATTTCTACGTTCTTTTTTTACGTGGTATTTTAGCCACCCGTGGTTTTAGTAGCCTTATCCTGGTGTATCGCTTTCTGATTGGTTGTTTAACAACCAGTCACAGTGTAAAGTATCAATACGTCACTATGCTCTGGTGCAGCTAATTTTCACACGGTAAACTGAGTGGCGCTCTCATAATATTTGTCTTTTATTTACAGGCTCGCTTTCATAACCCACTATTTATCTAGTACATTTTCGACTTCGTCGTCTTGAATATATTAATTTAAACTACAGCACCATACCACGTGACTAAGGTTGGGGCTAAAATAAATATTCCCGTTGGTGAGAAATATGTAAGGATAATAATGTTAACATCATAAAAGTTTCAGAAATTAATTATTCCATATGGTAAGAAATATCTGAATGCATTTGCTTTTACTGGGGACCTTGTTATATAAAGTATTTTTATTTTTGATGGATTAAGGTTGAAAATTTTCACGAATCTGTTAAAGAAAAGTAATAATAATAATAATATTTTTGGCTTACTGCTAGCATCTATATTTGATGAAATGTTTTAGCTTTAATATATCTAATGAAGATTTTAGGAACTATTTTTTACCCTTTTTTAATTAACATAATGAAAACTTAGTAGACTGTTTCTAGTTGTTTTTATCGCCAGTTTGACTTTTTGACTTCTTTTTTTTTAATAAATCTAATCTAGACTTCATAACGTGTTTTTCCCATCTTCGTATGTAGAACTTAGTAAGTCATTTCTTTAACTTTTATCAGTAGTTATGTGTATATGTTTCTGATAATATAGACTTGGCCAGTTATTTCTCGATCCTTCACACATAACGACAGCTTTTTCGAGATTTTATTGTGTAGTAAACGTGTAAGTTGTTTTCTTTAATTATCTACATATATAGCTTTTTTTTATCTACGTAGAACTGACGAGCTGTTTCTACTTTTTTCGTTAAATGTAAACTTGAAATCTGTTTTTAATCTTGTAGATTCTCACGTATTTAAAACAATATAAAATGTTTCTCATTTATTTATGTCTAAGGCTTGTTTTGTTTGTTTGTTTGTAACTAAGCACAAAGCTACATAAAGGGCTGTGCTCTGCCCACCACGAGTATCGACACCCGGATTCTAGAATTGTAAGTCCGCAGACATACCACTGTGCCACGGGGGAGGGGCTATGTCTAAGACCAAGTTAGAAAAAAAAAAAGTTTAACGTCCGGAGTTTTCTTAAAAGAGGATTGTTTGTTTGTTTTGAATTTTGCGCAATGCTACTCGAGGGCCATCTGCGCTAGCCGTCCCTAATTTATCAGTGTAATACTAGAGGGAAGGCAGCTGGTCATCACCACTCACCGCCAACTCTTGGGCTACTCTTTCACCAACGAATAGTGGGATTAACCGTCACATTATAACACCCCCACGGCTGAAAGGGCGAGCATGTTTGGTGTGACGGAATTCGAACCCGCGACCCATAGATCGCGAGTCGAGCGCCCTAACCACCTGGCCATGCCGGACCCCTTAAAAAAGGAAGGACGAGTTTTTTAAATCATCACTGACCTCTTTTAAAAGAAAGTTCGCGCCCTTTTTTTTTTCATGATTGTTGCTTGTTTTTAAAGGGTCCATGTCAAACAGAAGTTTTTTACTATATCATTTTTTCATCACAACGATACAAAATTTATGACAAATATAGAGAAATGGCATAATGAATCGACTATATTTATCTCATTTTTATTTAGAAGTCTTTGTTTCTTTGTATGATGGAAAAATGATAACTCAGAAAAGGAAAAAATCGCCAAAAAAAGTGGGGGGAAGGCGGCTGCAAAAAAAAAGGAAGCGGGCGGGGAATCTAAACACACACACACACATACATATATATATTTTAACCATTGAAATATTGTAGATTTTTCTTGTTTACTTGGAATTCGCCGATTTTTTTATTTTTTTTAAAGTTTTTCCTCTTCACGCTTTATGAACTGTTTCTTGTTTTATCTGTGTATGGGTGCAGTCTTTGGGAGTTTGCGAATTTGTTGAGTCGCTAAGGGCTTTTTTCTGATTTTATTTTGGTTATGTGAGGTTCTTTTAGCGTGTTTTCCCAAACCAACGTTGCGAGTCTCTCACCGCGAATAGATTAGTTTTTGCTGTTATATATTTAATGTACTTGCGAGACTTTTATAGACTTGGTGAGTTGCTTCTATTATTTAAAACAGTGATAGTGAGTTGTTTTCCTACAATATAAACGTAATGACTTTTTACTTTCTCGCCGCTTACTCGAAACTTGATAAGTAGATTATCTGTCTCCTTTTTTTTTAGTTTATCAAAAAACACGGAAAGCTATGTGTAGGCTCATCCTACGTGTTTAATATTTCCATAACCTTTTCGTGTAATTAAGATTTCGTGCGTTGTTTTTAGCCTTTATTTCCATATATAGTCTTGTCTTCAAATGTTCAGAGAGCAAGTGTGTTATTTTTTTGTACGTTTATTACAGTAGAGGATTCTATGAACTGCAAAGTTTTTGAAACTTTTTTTTTCAACTCCGTGAAAACATTCTGAAAACCATCGTAGATGTGTTCCCCCTGTTGTTCTCATGCAGCGAGCTTATGTATAAAAAAAACAACATCCTATTCATTCTCTGCTGTCACAGGCAAGGACAAGCAGTTTGATTTCTACTGGAGGTACCGTCAAGGTTTCACAAATAAATGGCTTCTCATTTGCATATCGATTATTACATCTACCGGTGCGCAGCTGCCTCGACAATCCTTGGACTGCTCAGTCCGTGCCCTTTGGGATCGACCACCGTGGAAATAAAGGGGTACAACGACGCTACAAAGCAAAGAGGAGGGGAGAGGGTAGTGGGCATGTCAGCAAATATAGTTTAGTTTCTGATTTAGCAGCTAAAATAAAGTCAGCACATAATCCCGTATTGCTTCTGTAAACTACAGTATTTTAATGGTCTTGGGAGCTTACCATTTTTTACATTTATTTCTTATAATACTTCTTTTAAACAAATGGAATTATACAAATCAAATTTCTCAATAACTGATATATATATTTCTCATAAAAGCTTCTAGTAAAAAATAAAGAAAACTTCAATGAAAGCGACAAACCTTTAATAAATCTTTGTTTTGAGCAACATATTTGAAAGTTGAAAAAAGAGAGAGAGAGAGTGAAATTCTTGAAAGAAGTTAATGTTTTTTTTAATTAGTAAAAAGAACTTGGACTATAATGCACAACATTTGTATTAAAAGTGAGAAAATCGACTATATTTAAATTTATTTTGTGAGAAACTGTATATAAGACGATAAACATTTGTCATCGTTGTGTACGAGCTAGTAAAATAGGAGTAGTACATCATCGTGTGCCATCAGTAGTTTTATTTAGGTCCGCTAGGATAAAGTCCAATTTACAATCACCGTTTACATCGTTTTCTGTTGATGTAGCAAAGTTACAGGAGCTTGATGCTAGCGCCATCTCTCCTTCATTAAATTAGTTACTCCATAGATTTCGGCAAAAATAAAAGTATTTCTAGTAATATTTTGTTAATAAAGTAATTTTTAATAGAAGATATTCATTTTCTATATAATGATAAGCATTTTTATCCAGTTGATGTATTTTCTTAGTGTTATTAATTTCCTCAAATTTGAAAACACAATATGTACTTTTTGTTCTAGAGTTCGGTTTATAAAGGAAACGAAAATGTAGAAGTAATTTTACTGCATGTTAAAAACTTTATAATTTTAGTACAGAATGATTAATGTTGTCGTTGTGTACAAAACGTGAACAATGTGCATATATATGCTTTCCATTTCTTCAGTATGTAATGACTATGGCTGAGGACGATCCACGTCGTATGGATGAAATAAGAAAATATGCTGCCATCTACGGTCGGTTTGACTGCAAGAGAAAGCCTGAAAAACCACTTACTCTGCATGAGGTTTGTAAAAGCTAAGCTGATTACTAAAATATTTCATCCATAGAATATTCTCGTAATCTTCTGAAGAATTGGATTTTTCTTTTATCAGTATTCAAATGGCATTTCAGAGAGTACAGCTGTATACTTAAAAAAAATCGAATAATAAAAGTTAACCCCTCAAAGAATTTCCACATTTTTTTACTTGATTTACTCAATAAAATTCTCTAAGAAATGGAGTTCTTCCATTGAACTTGTACCATATGGGCCTTTATAATGATTCTACTTATCTTTGAAGAACCTTTCGAAAAGATAGAGTTGAACTGGAGAAAATTATAGTAATAATTCAAGAAAAACTTGAACTCAAAATGGGGTTTCTCACAAATTCTCTTAACATATTTTATAAGCTGTTTTTGTGTCGATGGAAGTTAAAGTTAGACGTGAACTATAAACTACAACCTCTTCCATAGTTTTGCCATTGGACATCAAAGCTAGGCATCAAATGTGGTATGATGGTTCTTTGTTTTATAAAACTTGTCCCAGTCTATTCTTGTATCAGTTGATGTTAAGGCTTATCATGAGTTTCATTGTATTTCTTTTGATGGGATCAAGTTCAATCCATGATGCTACAGTATTTGATGTATGTCATAAATTTTATGATGGTATCAAGTTCAACCCATGATGCTACTGTATTTAATGAATGTCATAAATTTTATGATGGTATCAAGTTCAACCCATGATGCTACAGTATTTAATGTATGTCATAAATTTTATGATGGTATCAAGTTCAACCCATGATGCTACAGTATTTAACTTGTGTCAAAAACTGTATGAACAAAGGGAACATTAGGCATGTGCAGCATTCAAGAACAAAATTAAACAACATTCTGAGGAGTTAACTCATCATCATCAGATCATGACGCCATAATGTTTAACCCATGCCACAGTTTGTTTGGCAAACTTTAAGGCCAAGCATTAACTGTGTTGTGGTATCTCTTGATTCTGTAAAAAGTAAACCAAGATGTAGTTACATCAAAGAAGATTAAGGTTAAGCATTTGAATAGGTTTTCTTTCAATTGTATCAAGTGAGTATAAGGACTTGTGGCTAATTCATGCTGTTATTAGATTAAGAGCACAGGTAACCAGTGCATTAATTCATCTGTATGTGATACCTTGAGGTTTGTGCATTTTTAAGCAACAAAGTTGCCTGAAGTAATGTTCCTTAGAAGGTTTGCTTTAGTATAAGCAATACTTCAAAGGTTGAACATACTATCATGAATAGCTAATTAATAAACATTAATGTTGATCATTAGATTGCTGCTCTTTGCAAAATTAACTAATAAAGTCAATAAATTGCTAAAAGCCTATGCTAAATTTCAGCTATGTATAATTTAAAGAGACCTGCTTACTAATGCTAGCATAAGAAAGGTTTTTTGGTTTTTGTTTTGACTAATCACAAGAATACATTTAGTAAAAAATAATGACAAGTATACAGATGAACTAAGGTAGGCTTCACCATGAATGTTAATGTGTATCTCAGTAAGTAATGTTAATACCAGAGAATGGCTGGCACCTGTTTGTTCACAGTGGCATTAAAGTTATTGTGAACTTCATCTGATCATCTAATAGCAAGAATAATTAATGTTAACTAAATGGGAAATTGGTAAATTAAAGTCTTAAGGAATCTGCATAAAGTGTTCATGCTATTCTTCTGCGACTAAAATACATCAGTTTAATTTAAATGATTATTTTATATTCACTAATAATAAAAGGCTTATTTCCTTTGTCACTGTGTCGAGAACACTTTCACGCTTCGTTTTTTTGGTAATGCTCAACAATATACATCATCACTTAGCAACAAAACTATCATCTGATTTTTCTTAGGCCGAAAAACAGCAAAATAGTTTAATTCAGAAGTTTTATAACATTGAGTTGTAGCCAAAAGCAAAATAAAATTTACCA